AATGAACTGATACATGATTAAATTTGGAATGGGGATGAAGTAAAAATAGTTAAGCCTGAAGTAGCTAACTTTTTTTTTTAGCCAGAGTAGCTTCTAGCTGCACTTGGAAACCCATGAGTTTAATTGCAGTGCTCATCCTTCCAGACAGTTTCCCTAATTGTTCTGCACTAACATCAAAAGCTGCAAACGTTGCAGTTAGTGCAGGAGCAGGTTTGCCTGAAGATCTCTCTGAATCCTGGGAAAGCAAGATCCTGAGGGCAGGGGAGACATTGGCCTTCCAGAACTTCAAGGAGCCTGTCAGAAAGCTGGGGACAGCTTGAGCAGGGCCTGTTGCAACAGGATGAGGGGTGATGGGTTTAAACTAAAAGGGGGGAGATTTAGATTAGACAGAAAATTTTTGATGCTGAGGGTGCTGAGACCCTGGCCTGGCCCAGAGAAGTTGTGGATGCCTCATCTTTGGAGGTGTTCAAGGTCAAGCTGGATGAGGCTTTGAGCATCCTGCTTGAGTGGGAGGTGTCCCTGCCATGGCAGGGGGGTTGGGACTAGATGATCTTTAAGGTCCCTTCCAACCCAAACCCTTTTGGGATTCTATGAATTGGCCAGACCCCTCATTAGTGCTGTGGGGAGCTGGTGAAGGGGCACGTGCTCAGAGCCTCAGCTGGGCATGTTTGGAGGAAGGCTTTGTCTGTCCAGGAGGATGGGGAGCAGTTGCAGGCAGGAGCTGTGGGTTTTCCCCCAGAGAGCAGCACGCTGCATTTTCCCCACTGTAGGAGGGAAAGAAGCAGCCTCAAGTTGCACCAGGGGAGGTTCAGGTTGGACATTAGGAAAAACTTAACTGAAAGGGGTGTTGAGCATTGGAAGGGCATGTTTGGAGGAAGGCTTTGTCTGTCCAGGAGGATGGGGAGCAGTTGCAGGCAGGAGCTGTGGGTTTTCCCCCAGAGAGCAGCACGCTGCATTTTCCCCACTGTAGGAGGGAAAGAAGCAGCCTCAAGTTGCACCAGGGGAGGTTCAGGTTGGACATTAGGAAAAACTTAACTGAAAGGGGTGTTGAGCATTGGAACAGGCTGCCAGGGGCAGTGGTGGAGTCCCCAACCCTGGAGGGGTTTCCCAGCTGAAGAGATGGGGGGGGAGGG